CCCAATGTGCCAATGTGTGAATTAAGCTCAATAGCTGAAAACGTTCAGACACCTATTGAAAAGTGTATACGGAAGAAAATAGTGACATGTAGTTTACTGAACGAAGTATGTAGAAAAATCTAGTCACAGAGCTGAATGTTCAGGGAAAGAGTAATAGCTATTTTTAGGGATTCATGGTAGACCGTATGTGTCAGATGTGATTTATAGCGATGGCTGGGAGAAAACTGATGTGACCCTATGCTTCAACCAATGGAAATAAGCATGACCGAGAATGTGCTAATCTTGATATTAGTCTCGCGAATAGTTTTGTTCTATTTTATGTCAGTGGGTTAAATTCAAAGCGGCTTAATGTAAAGAGTATTGGTGAAAGTTTCGAAGTGAGGTCTACGCTATAAATGGTGTGCAATTTAAACAAAAAAGTATAAAACTTTATGTAGAATGGGAAGTGAAGGTTTTAAAGAACAGCAAATCAATTTTCGGACAAAGAAATAGGGAAATAATGGCAGCAATACATATAAGTGATCACAATGATGGCCCGATAATAAGCGGGTAGGATCGACTGACACTTTTCAGCTAAAACAACTTGACATAAGATCGCGCATTAGATGAATGATATTAAAGAATGGGTATTGAAGTGTGACAGTGAAAACAAGTTTTTGAAGAACATCAGCGCCAATGTTCGACAGTAAGCCGATCAAAACATGATAATTATTGAGCATAGGAGGTACGTTGCCCCTGAATGGAAACAATCAATGCGAATAATTCATATCTTTGAATGAAATGCTAGCGGTAAGTAGAAGATGTAAAGTGAGGTAGGTTCATCATCAGAGTATGACTTCTAAACGTTAGGTAAGAGACTATGGTAGGAAGGAAATGAAAAGAAATAGAAATAGTGGAGTATCATTTGAGGTCCTCTGCCCTGATTAGACTGATTTTTTGCATGGCTAAACTTATGCCTTTTGGGAAACAAAAAAACAAGAACAGAAAACTTCCTGCATTAAGACTTTTCCTCGTACCAAATCACTTCATTGGAGAGTTGTAGGCCAAAACATGGCAATCATTGTGGCACTTTTGAAAAGTCCTCCTGCCATTAGTGCATGTACAGAATAAAAATAGATAAAATTAAAGGCAAGTAGAGGATTACAAAGAATTGAGACAGGTAACTATTTTAAGTAGGAAATTATCGGTGTTCTAGTAGCTGTAGAAATAACGTGTTGTTGGTTGGAATTCACCGTTTGGAGAACGAGTTGGAGCAATATAGTCTCCATGTTGCAAGCTTATCTGTGGCGTTGACTAAAATATAATCATTAACAGTTGCCAATTTTTACTCACAATTGATTATAAAGATCGTTACCTTATAGGCAGTCGTTGAAAGGAATTCGTTTCAAAATTTCTTAACAGGAATCGACACATTACCTTCATGTTTATATATTCATTAAAACTATTTCATTAACATGAGGCGTATAGCACAGTGGTAGTGATGTCGGTCATCACGGGCATGGTGTTAGTTCGATTGGGCTCCGGTCCTACCAAGCCTCTCATCCTCCGGGGTCGGGAAATCGGTACCGGGCTTGTCTGAGAAAAGATCACTCTCTGCGAACAACTGGGAATGCTCCAGCCCAGCTATCTCAGGATTCTAGAGAAAATCGATTCGACCAACATTCTACGACAAATAAAATGAGGTAAAAACTCTGAAGCAGTCTTCGAAGCCATGGATAAAATTTGGGAGATCTTCGTGAATAATGGATGCCAGAAAACGAATCGAATTTGGGAAGTGTTGGGATCCGCACAGTAGACGTGAAGACTGGTCATATAAAAAAATTTTTTAAAAAATCATTAACACTTAGATTCAATCGACGATATAATTGAATACTGCTATAATCAATTAAATGAGCACCTTATTTGGACAACGAATGAACAACGGAGAGTTTTTTTCAAAACCAGAGCAACCACCACTTGGTGTTGTCGAAGTGGCTGCAGTGCTTACCATGAACTGTGAAGGGAGTTCTTAAAGCATGAAAAGATCAAGACCATACATTCCATTCAACGGGCCATATTCTGGATGTTTCGTAGCTGACAAGCAGAAACAATATTTGTTCAAGCGTTCTAATAAAGGACAAAACAAACTCTCGCGCTCGCCTTGGAGATTTTTCTTGCTGTGATACTCTGTTGATAAAGTTTATTTGCGTCGGTGTTCATGTCGGCCTCGCTCGGTGCTCAACAGTAGTTTACAGTACATTGTCCCACATCAGTCACTACAGCTGAGTAGAACAATCTCGTCTATGTGTAAGACGGTACGCCTGCACGTGCTCCTCAATGACATTTGGTGATGTTCAAGTTCTTCTACTAGCTTGCACTTAATCTCATTCGGATGTTCTTCCAGTGACCAAAAAAAGCGAAGACTATAGAGACATCGAGCTGCGCACTGTCCTATCCTGATGTGCAGTTGACAATAGCACAGATTATGCTCGTGGTGTTTTCGAAAAGGCTTAGAACACAAGAGATTATCCAAATTTGTTAACTTTAGATGTTTAATACTGGTGATTTCCAATACATAAAGGAAATGAAGTGTTGCATGACTTAAGTTGTGGCCACTAAAATATTATTTGGTAACATCGTGGTAGTGAACTCGTGCATACCTTATATCTTTTCCCTTATATTAGGTTGCTTTAAGACCTTAATATTATAAAAATGAAAAAAACAACAGGTGCGTTTAACACTCGGTTATCTCTCTGATTAAAAAACTTCTCATTTGAATTAACAATTGAGCTAACCTGCAATACAGATGTGGCTGATCTGGATAAGCCGGGATCTAAGAAGCTGAAGCTGTCCTGGACGTACATGTCTGGTTTCGAGTTGTGTGGTGTATTAATCTTAAAATGGAACACAGCATTCTGCACACAGTACATCAGTATATGTACTAGTAAACGGAAATTAAAACTTGACCGTTTTTCACTTTCTCTTTCTTACTTTCATGTTATTAGCTGCCATTAACCATCGGAGTGTCACTACAGAGACAACGATACCAAATGTGTTTTCAATGAAAAAATCAAAAACGCCCTTCTATCCAACTAATAAATCACACTTTAGGAAAAAATCGACGAGTTCCTAGATATTTCTAGGGTGGGTGGGTTTTGGGTTTCTATGGGTAAGGCAGTTTCAGCCATCGAAATGTAATCAGGCTATTCACAGCCCTTGCTTAAGTTTTAATGTTCATTAAATCTTTTATGTTGGATGAACAACTCACATGGTAGACTTGTTCATGATATTCTTTAGTGTTTAAAGGGCAACTTCGCTGTAAAGTGGAAGAAACATCAGAAGTGAAGAAAGTGAACGTTGTCATGAGTATAGCTCCCAGAGATGTAAATACCAGCAATAAAAGCGCTAAGCATACGAGATAAAAAGAGTATCCGTAGTGTTTCTGAATAAATTGATTTCGGTTTCGCAATGAAGACACTTAAGACTACATTACTAAATGGACAAAATTCATATGAAAAAGTAAATATGGAGAAGTAGTAACACTGTTGTCTCTTTCTTCCTTTACTTTTAAGCCTCAGGTACGTGAAATAACAGCTCATGTCCGTCGTTGTATGGAATGGTGTCATTAACACATTCACAATAACTCCAAGATTTCGCTGTCTGCAGCGTAGAAATATGCACAATTATCCTCAAACTGCGGACTGCATCGAAATCAATGCCTATTGTTCAAAGTCTCAAAGCGCTTCCCCAAGACACCAAGTATTATCTTCAGTGGCAATTACTTAATACTCTAGTACTCCTCATCTGTGATACTTTTGCTAACCGAGGCATATGTTAATTTCTTCCTAATCGGCAACAAGCCCTGTGCGCTATTTTGTCCGAGAAATAATTTTTGCAAATTGATAAAAGTAGGATATAGCATTCTTGGGACCATTCTTTGACAAGGTCTGCACTGGATAGCTTATCAGTAGAATAGAAAAAGTATAGCGGAAAACTTGCCGACAATAAAGACTCTTTGCCGCAAAAGAAACAATAGAGCAGAAAGTGAATTGAAACTAATGCGCACTACTTTGAGCCTCACGTGAACTGCCAAGTCAGTGCTCTTCTTTGTTACGAATTATTAGAAACTATCACAGCAGTTAAATTCAGTGGAGATGGATATGATTGGCTTCAGAAGTTACGTAAAAAAATTTATACATACCTAAAATATGTTTGATCAACTATACAACAATAATGAAGCTGACATATTTGCACAACTCTGATGGCAGTCCAGCTTCAAAGCTTCGATTACGCTTTCCGGATGTACGCGTACCCATTGCACCCACCAAGGCCTTTGCTTTGCCCTCCTCTCAGCCCGCTTTTTAACCTAACGGTATGATCATCAATCACATGTCAATGGGGATGATCTGGAAGGTACAAGTCGGCATTGAAGCCACTCAAGCGGAGGCTCCGGTAAAATCAGTTTGTCGAAAACAAATCAGTCGATTTGTGCTAACCAGATCATTCCTGCTGACAAATGATTGCTCACGGAACTACTGGGCTAAAAAAAAGCTGAGAAAAAGGCAAAACAAGGACCTCGGTAGTGCGATGGCTAGCGGACGAGTACCCGGAAAAGGTTATCGCCAGTTTGGAACTGGACTTGGGTCCGAGTTTTACAAATATCTCAGCATCATTGTCGCTGCATTTCACATAATACTCTGCCGTAGGAAAAAGTAAGAAGCAAAAAAAGTTGAATAATTTTTAGCCATTCCCACAGCCGACTTTCTATTAGCCTCGGCATTGACAAATAATCCGTAGAACTCGATATTCTTGTTGCTGAGCATTCTTGTAGAAGGTAAAACTGCTGATACGTCAGCTTTACTAGACTGAAGAATGAGGTAACACGTCGTATTTGTTCAACAAGAAAACTGAGAATTATTCTGCCATATTTTTTAATAATGTGTTTTACCTTCAAGAATTAAACAGCTCTTTGAGCGACAAGTGTACCACTGAAATAAACAAAACTGTAGAGCAAACCGTTTTCATACCTCAAATGTGTTCTTCACGCCAATTAAATACTTTGATTCAAGCATTTCAGCATTTATTACAAACACCATTAAAGATATTCCGAGACATAGCACTGGAAATATAAGGATCGACAACGATATAATAAGAACAGAGCAATGTACCAGGGCTGTTTACACGTCTAGATTAAAAGCATGAAATTGTTGGCGTTGGCGCACGCACCACTACCAATCGCATATCTATTCCTATTACCTAGGTGAAGGTAGACCTCAGAACGGATCGAAAATGGCAATTTTATCTTCCATATTTACCAAACGTATTTACCGGCCATGAAGATGAGACCGTCAAATGCTATGGTAGCGATACGACGTCGTTCCGCTTTGAAATACGATAGCAAAACAGCAATGGTAGCAAGTGAGATCAGACCGATTGACACTATGTTCAGAATTAGCACAGCATAATGCCAACCTAGAACAATGATGTAAACTTCTTTACTAAATTTTCAACGATAGTTAATTATACTCGAAGTAGTAGATAGAGACCAGTAACGAAGTCTAGCCCCTCTCTCCTTACTTTCTGCAATTACCAATTCACAAATAGAATACTAACGTGACGTTATATCGTTATGAAATTGGACAATATGGTTTCCAGCTTAGGCTTTTGTGTGGAGTCATTCGCACTTATTATCGAAATAGCATATGATCAAGAATGCTCGATTCCTATTAAGAAACTTAGTTGAGGCACAGCAACAAAAACAATAGATCTTCTTGCTTCATACCATACATAACCTCTTAGAAGAATACTGCATAATCTTTTTTCTAAACATTACCGGCGCTAATGGTTCTAGAGATACGATTTTTCTACGTCTAGACGACATTATCAATCGTATTAAAATGGAAGCTATTGTTCAATATATTTTAAAGTTAGTCTCAAAGCCGCCTATTTATAATCTTCTAAAATCTTAAAATTTTCTAAAAGAAAGAAACAAATAGGGAAGAAATGAACAAAATTCCTTACCAAAAAAATAAGGTGTACGAAGAAGTTTCTTCCTGCAGTCTCCAATTAGTAAAAACCGACAGACGTCAACCTTAAATCTTTGCTCTACAGTTGAAGGGTTAGAAAAAGTGAATTGTAAGCATTGATGTTAAGTTTATGCACTCAAATCCATTCTTAAAAGAATACTCACTTCCCCTTCATTATTTCCCATACTAAGTGCTTAACTCAATCACATCAACAACACGTAAACATTCTCCGATTTCAGTTTTGTAACAACGTCATGCAGGCTTATCAATCAACCAAAATGCTGCGAGTGTGACATCATTTTTTTTCCGGAATTATAGATTTAACATGGATATGGTGACCATGGTGCTTAACCAATATCTTAAGCTCTTTCAAATTCCTCTAATGACATATCTTCAAAAAATTTGAATAGACGTATAGAAACAAAAAAAACCCGAAAAATTAAAAAAAAGCATACGCCGATTCAGAACGCTCTCAGCCACGCCATTAGAAAAGAACGGTAAAATAAGAGCACATGAAAGACATTTGTCAACGTATTTTGTTGTTCTTACGAGTTCTGAAGCTTCCTAGACATTGCTACCAAACATCCGTTTTTTTCCTGTCACAGTAATACATCTATAAACGTTTTCTGTCTTAAGGAAATGAAACGCTTTGTGACCAATCAAGAATTATGCCACGTCCCCACGAATTTTGGATGGTTTATCTTCAGTTTCGAAAGCTGAACATTAAGCAAACATATGGAAGAAGTGAACCATTTTGGATGTTTGGAAAGTGAATCCTCGTAGATTTCGGGGATCTTTATTTAGGATTTACTTAGAGTATAAGTTGGGAATGAGATTGCTCAGACGAGATCCAGTTCTCTTCTACAGTCACGATCTTTCTTATGAAATTTTGACGATGTGGTAAAGCAGGAAAGAACTGCGGATGCCTATTTGAGCCAACCCATAGTGGATAGTCATAGCGTGTTATTTTTAACTACATCACAGTTTGTGGTAGTTTGTCATAATAATGTAAATGGTGATCTCAGCAAAGCCCATTGTCGTTTCTGAGTCGTATCTGTTCGACCATGGAAACTGGAGCTCGTCGTGTAGAATGGTCATTAAAGTTGACCAATCATACATATCTCAAAACATATCCTTGAACGTTCATTTCGATCCGAAGTGAATCTGCCTGCTATTTCCGTTCACTTTTTAAGCATCCTACGGAATGTAATCGAACAGGCTACAACAAGGTACAAAGAGGTTTAAATGTGAAGAAAAAAAAACCTGAGCAAACTAAAACTTCTGCTTTATTCTAACAAATTGTGTGGATACTAAAAAATCTAGAGAACCATGAATAGTTCCATTCACCACATGTTGCAGAATGGTGACACATGTTATTACCTTTTCATAATAATTTATGAGGTTATCACTGAAGATATACCAACATTGTGCAGCTCCTGGACAATAAAGCCATAAGCCAGACTGAACATATCGGCTTACATCTGTATCCTCGGCAACCTGAGAAGTTGAAATTTTGTTTGAACGAGTTCGTTAAAACGGTTCGCAATGTGCTCTCACAAAACTGGAACTAGTGAATATTTTCCATGCCATAACAATATCGTCATTAATGAGTTAAGACAGAAACGAAGAGCATTTCATCTACTTTTAATTTCTACACTTTCTCGCATGCCGTCATACGCTACATATCACATTCGAAGCTATGGAAGCAATCTTACTTGATATGGAGACTTTTGTAAATTTTTCAGGAAATTTTCATATAGCAAGAATCTGGAACTCAATTGGTATTTGATTTTTACCGTTTTCATTAGAAAGCGCGATAAATACACATGATAAGAAAAAATCGAAGGGCTCTCCGCAAACGATGTGACCTGGTCAGATATGCATAGCCGTTTGCCTCTTCATAATTATTTTTCGAACATGAATCTTTCCACGTATAGCGCAAACCTCACAATTTCCTTTACTAAATTTATTGCGTTCTACCCTTAATCAAGGAAGGCATTCGAAATCACGGGCGTGTTGGACTGCTACTTGAAGATTCTGTCTTCTTCATAAACCTCGTTGGGTGCAAGCTAAGTATCATTCTCTCTAAACTTCCGTATTAACTCTACTAGAACGCTTCTAGACCTTCACTACAGGCTCTTTTGTGGAAAGAACGGAGCAGTTCTTGGAGAAACACACTACCAACATAGCCGTGAGGGAGAGATGGGACTCCGACTATCCAGGGCGCCGTCGTACCAAAAACTACGGGTATATTACAGAGGATGTCTCTCACAACTTCTGGGCACGACACTCATTTACCTTGAAGCACCGTAAAAGTAGCATCATTATGATTTAGATATTTTAAAAATAGTAGGTGGAAGTTTTAGAAATGTTTCAATTATAAAGACTTCCTTAGAACATAGATTCCACTTGCTAAATACGTGGTTTTCTTCCCATAAGAACATATGTTACTAGATGTGTTTCTGCTGCTCTTAAAAATTAAAAAAAGAAAGAACACATATCGAAATTTAAAACCTACTTTTTCGTTTTTCATAATGTTGTTATCAGGACGATTTATGTCTCTTGAATACAACCTTGTTTGCAATGACGTGTGTTTGTAGGAAGTAAATAATGAAAAGGAAAAAGAAAGATGCTGACGTACCTGCCAAGCTGGAGTAAGAGTCCCGATCACTAAAAATATATTCGAGATGATAGCAAGAATGCTGGAACCTAACTGGCACTTTTCTAACTTTGAGAGCGATTCCAGCATTGGTTTCCTCTCTGCTATATGTGAAAAATAGTGTGCTATGAATAAACGTTAAATAAAAATAGCATCATTAAGAACATGTTAAAGGAATAGGAAAACACTGTGTTCTAAATTAAGGGTCAAATGGACTCGATAATGTGGAGGAGAACTACAGCTTATGTGGATTTTCAGAACGCTTCAATGAGAAGTATAACACCGCAAACGACTCGACACAAGACATCCAAGGTGAAGTGTTCGGAAAGACAGTTTCATTCGTAGTTGTATATGTACAGCTGACAAATCAATTAATGATGAATTTTTCGTGTATTTATACAAAGAAACTGGCACATTATATGATTTACAATGGACACTTAAGGTAAGTGAAAGACTGTTACAATATAATTTAAAAGCACCAAAAAAACCACTCAGTAAGGAGAAGACATTCAAATAGGTAGATATTTAAGAAAAAATCGAATTTTGTACATTTATACATATTTCATCAAATGCTCGATTGTCAGCAACGGAAACGAATAATGTTCTTCATAATCTTCAATCGATGCTTACGGTAAACATAATAAGTACAAAGATCTTAGAAATAACTAATAGGGCAAATTTTAAGAATCAATGACGTTTATATCAGAGACACATGAATTATACGAGACCCGAAACATTTTGCGATTTGAAACCTTGAACAAACACATTAACACATTCGACGGCATCATTAACTTCACAGCGTTTACAAAAGGAAAGAACTCGTCCGCTACTTAAACACGATGGTGCTGTTTTTTTTTTCTTCAATAAACGATGAATTTTTGTTAGCTAGAAAGCCTGTAAAACTTGTGAGTACACCTTTTCCATCTAGAGGTATAATATTGCTACTACTGAAGATTCCAAACGGTAATCAAAATCCATCAAAGCAGTTAGAAATGAAGTACGCCCTAGATATGGGATGATGCCTGTTTTCTAAAAACTCTTGATAATTTAGCTAACTAGAAGAATGTATTACTCTAAAAAAAATTAAAAACTTCTCTATACTGTTGTTTCCATCTTATGCTTATTTAAAACTGACGCCGTAAAAAAAAACGAACTCTTATAGAATAAGGAAGCTTGCACATTGCTGGCGAAGGTTGATGGATTCCGATAGTTCTTATTTCACTTTATAAAGTTCATTATGTGCTGCGATACGCCTGTTGAAAGGTATGTCTTCCTTCGCATACATATGGACGATGTTTAAATGACCTTCGTCAATTTTTTCTTTTTGTTTCCTCTCCCACCTTTTCATACAACTCAATCTCCATTCCATCGACTTTGCTCCAAATAATAAGCCTTCTTTTTCATAGTTTTGATTAATTTCTCTAGTCAAGGACAATTGAATATTATAGGCTTGAGCCATATCAGCTGATAACTACTTCAAGTTTTATCGCAATCAACCTCTCATCAGGAGTAATCATGAAAATGCTGGAGAAGAAAAGGATATCGTTGGGCCTACTATATTTTTTGTCGATTGAAGACTGAAGGAAGTGAATGGGATAAAAAAGATAAACACGTTAATGATGTCAACAGTGAATGTTCGTGTGAGGTAATGCTTCACAACTTCTTTTATTAGCTGAGAAGCAGAATGATATAAATGGACGAATAGTAGATCAGTGCACAGAACAGAAAGATTTTTAAGAGCTACTTATGACTCGGACTTATGAGCTGATTGAGAAAAAAAATTTGTTGTAGAGAACGGTATGTCGTGGGAAACGACAAGTGTGGACGAAAAATAATCGATGTCTTCTTTAGCATGCGCAATGGCCAACTAGCGCAATCGAGCGATTATTGAAGCCTGAATTTTGGTCTTGAATGCCATCCTTCTTCAACGGTTGTTATTATGATAAGTAGATTGTCATCTACACAAGAAGAGGTGGCCAATTTTCTTGAATTATTGGACGAACAGCACGTGTATATTAACCTCACCAGAGGCGAACTCAAATAAAACTGGATTTCGTTTTTGAACCTTCAAATTAACTCACCCAAAAGTGGCTAAAACACTAAAAGACAGGTAAAAAATCGAACTGGCTCATTATCTCTCTTCTACCCGCCAAGCGTCTGGAAAGAACACGTTGGCAAAATAGGTGAGCCACTCTGAGCCCCTATAAAAGAACGCGTAGATGAGAAAATGATCATAAATTCAAAGAAAACAGTCCATTAGGGTGCATAGGACACAAAGAGATATTGGAGAAGATTTTCAATTAAAGTCGCTATCCTAGCATAGGAGCCTAAAACATGAGCGGACAAAACTGTTGAAACAACTTGGATGATTTCAAAACAACCAAAAATAAACCGCCAGGAGGAACGCCTTGCGATCACGTGTGAGCTCGACCCATGTCTCGAGTTAATTTCTTCATCTAGGCCAAGCACATTCCTCACCCATTAAGATTCCGTTCGGCTGATTTCTAACAATAATTGAAGGGAGCAGAAGGAAGAATCCCTGAAATCGGCGCAGCAAAAATAGCCATTTCGATTGCCTACGAAACTGTAGGACAATCGCAGAGGAAAAACCACTCTTCCGAACCACAATTCTAGCGAGAATAAGGTCTCGTTTATCCTGCCCTTTATTTCTAACAAAATAACTGCAGCTATGAAAGGTTGATTAAGAAGGGCCAGTATACAGAATTCGACAAAATTGATAGAAAACTTTGACCGGACACTTTGAGACGTCACCTAGTTCGTAAGCACCTATACAACCGTCAATGCTTAACGAAAAGCTGCATAATATGCTCTCGCGGTAGAGATGGTGACTGCGTGAGTTTGGATACGTTGTACCTAATCTCTTGAAAACTGTGTAGGGACGAACACTTTGGCGAAACGCGTAAGCCATTCTGCGTCCGTTTAAAAAACACCCAGACTCTAAATTTAAATTGAAATTAAGCACTCTACGAGGCGCGCATAGGAAACAGAAACATAACGGAGAAGATTTTAAAATAAAAGTCACTATCCTCGCAAGGGGATCGAAAACAGGAGCGCGTGACACTCTTGAAACGTTTTGATTAATTCCAAAGATCCAAAAGTGAACCGCAGGAGGAGTGCCTCGTGATCACGAATGACTTCGCGCCATACCTCAGGCTGATTCTATGACCTGACCCAGGCACATTCCTCTCCCATGTATTACTCTGTGCTGCTGCTGCCCACCAGTTAACTGAAAGACTTACAACTAATAAAACGGTGGGTGTTTAGAAGGATCTGCTTATTATGCCAATGGAAATTTATGGTTAAATCTTATCTGGGAAGGTTATGAAGATTTTGCTAAGTAGATTGCAGGTCAATTTGATCTTTCCAGGCTCTGAAAAAGAGGAAGCATCCGGAAACGTCAGCTATTGTGTGCTGATACCTTATATAATACCAACCTCGTGTTTCCTCATTGAAAAAATGAATTATCGATCAGTACAAAGGTTATTCGAAAGTCGGAATTGGAAGACTTATGAAGAACAAAATGGCGAGTGTCTGCGGTGGGGAACGAATGCACTATTGTCCTTTCCGCGAAGTAACGCGTTCACCACCACACCAAGCAGATCCTTCGTCTCGCCTGTCTCTCAGCTAGTTCTATCGAGCTTTTGCCATTAGCAATCACCCGTCAACGGAATTGATCTAGGGAGCCTAAATTGGCATTAAACCCAGTTAAGCTGAGGCTGTAGTTATAATCACCTAGTTATATCGGTTTTTTTGGTCACTAGTTCTAGCTATATCAGTTTTTTGATCACTAGTTATAGTTACATTAGTCTTTTTCAGTATAAATACAACCTCAGCTTAACTGGGTTCATTGCCGATTTGGACCCCAGATCAATCCCGTTGACCGGTGATTGCTGATGGTAAAAGATCGATAGAACTAGCTGAGAGACTGGCGAAACGAAGGACCCGTATGGTGTGGTGGTGAACGCGTTACTACCCGGAAAGGACAATAGCGTGTTCGTTCCCCACCGCAGACGCCTGCAGTCCGGAGTTTTGCAAATATCTCAGCATTATAGTAGTTATATTGCGTAATATACCTTGCCGTTAAAAAGAATTATCAGTAAATAAAAAAGGTGAAAATGGGGAGTTTTAAAAAAAGCTGCTTTCGTAGCGATTCAAATTTCGGTATTAAGCTTTTCTTTTTGGATCACGAAAGTGTTCAGCTGAGTAGATTGCATATAAATTCGTCCTTTCCAGGCTCTGAAAAAACCGAAACCGCCGAGACAACTACTGTTTAATAAACCACGTATTAACAACCTGGTGTCTGTTCAAGTAGACAGCACTAACTAATTGATGAACACTGAAGTTGGTCAAAATTCGGTCGTGGGAACTATAAAAAATAGATTTAGAACTCTGTCAACAAACTTCTCTTTTTTGCCGACAGGACAGGTTACACAAGATTAAGCCGCTAAGTGGTGTTACAAACAGGAAATGCAGCAGATTTTACAAGCATGGAAAGTTGGTGCGTACCAGCGAATCCCTCGTGCCGCTTAAAGGTCGAGTCATCATCTGCTAGTATATCCCATAAAAGTGGCACAAGCACGGAATCGAGTTAATAAAACAGCGCGTTAAGAAATAGTTACACTTCCACAATTTTGGTACACACTACCACCGATTACTCAATAGACGAAAATGTGGGAAATCGTGCGGTGATGAAGCTCATTTGCGACTTCCTAAATGAAAGAAGACATCCTTAAACCGATAGTTGGCACAAAAGACTTCCTTTCCTTTGCCTGATAACTTATTGCGGAGAACGATCCACTTTAGCCGCAGCTATAGGAAAAATAGGAAGGGACCACCCTAGGAAGTTATCCACCGCAAGTTGAAGAAAGGACAATAGTTAACCCAATAGAACAGGAGCGGCATAACGATGTTGAATTGGAGAGATAAAAACACAGACATTTTTGTTCTGTGGACACTTAGAAATGTAGAAAAAGTCATCTTTTCAAAGGATTTTTTTGTACACATCCATATATTATAAGCATGAAGTTTACTTTACATATCTTATCAAACTGTACCAAGGAGTGATAGCAGTATTCCTGGAGGTTGGACGAGTTGTTTTCTTAAACTGAATAGATTTAACGAGATCAATTTCGTCCAGCAGAATAAGATGGCTTACATAATTTATCGCTGATGCCTCGTTTGCGTAAAACTTCTACTATAGTGGTAATGTTTTTAAATCATACCTAAAAAATGAAACCTAACCAATTCCAAGGAAAAAATATACACAGCTTTAAAGCACCTCCTCCACAAGTGTGTGAACTCTTCAGTTTTTCAAGCACTCTAGCAACCAAAAACTATCGATTATAAAAATTACAAATGTTTCAAGGCTTTTAGGAACACTTCACGTTCTTTTAAAAGTTTTCAAAGAAGAAATAACTATAGGCACTCTTGCAGACATAAAAGCTTGAAAATCACATGTTAAGTGACTAGCGCAATTTGCTCGGAACATCTGGAAGTCCTCTCATGGCAAAGTAATCTTCTTGCGAAAACTGTGATGTGTCGTATCCATGAAAGGGATGCTAAAATTGACGTGATTAAAGTGAAGATACTGAAGTGAGGTGCCCAGCTATACCTACATCTCACCAACCATTGTTCGTCCAAGGTCGACGTTACCACCTAGGTATCGATCCTTTCGTAAGATATGAATAATATAGGTGAGTGAAAAAAAGAAAGCAACAACGTAGAGGAGTGAGCCACATAGAGCAACGTAGAATGAGTATCCACGATGTTTCTGAAACCAGTGAGCAATGGTGAGGCTGATGTGGATGGTTATCCAGCATTTGCAAGACAAACTTCATAAATTCCGCTGACAGAGACTTGTAAGAACCGGTACTCCACCATATATGAAAATATAATGAAGGCAACATTACTGCCACAACAGATGAGAGCTGTAATATTGTACATATCCACATGATACAAACAAAGAGAATAAAAAGTGCTCTACAACCACCGGCAAATGCAGCGAATACAGTGGCTACAACAGACGCAGCTTTTTCAACAGATGGAGTCTGAGAAAAGCAACACGATATAAGGCACAAAACAGCACAGAGTTGACCAACAAAAAACACATGCAGAAGATTTCTCTGCCAAGCTGAAATCATGCATAATAACAACGTCAATTTAGAAGAAAACAGTATTTTTATAAACGATTGCATTATGGAGCTTCATAGTGTTGGTAAAGTTTTCAAAAGCATCGTAGACATAGCGAATATTTGCAAAAAAACTTCACAATCAGCGATAACCCTTTATTTTTTGCCTACTATGATTTTTCACGGTAGGGTATGATGTGAGATACAGTCACAACGATGCTCAGATATTCGCAAAACTTGGACCTCGAGCCAGATCGAACCCTTTACGGGGGTTCGCGTACTACGCACAGCACCACGGAAGCCCACACTCAGCTGCTTTTCTTTTACCTAGCGTTGCCTAACCTAACTTTAAATTCAATAGTTGCGCAAGTAATAATTTTTAAAAAAAATCAGGAAGGTTAGGTAAAAGATAGAAATACATAAAACGTTCCCCGTTTACTATGTAACGATTACAAATGTTATTTGCAGCATAATCTATACAGTTCTATAACAGATCTATAACATGATAAGGAAAGATATGTTTATCTTCTAATATAAAATGCTCTAGTACATTACTAAACCGACTTCCAATTAATCTCAGCGTAAACAATCAATATATATTTTTTGGATTGTTCAGCTTACACGAAGTTTTCGTATAACTTTCATTCGGCCAATGTTTCGATGCCTTCGTCTTTCTCAGAGCGGATGATCTCAGTCGATGTCCATTGACGTCCGCCCTCACGTTGTAAGTCTTCGTATTCGTATCGATGAAAACCTTCTGAAGTAGAGCACCGCTTCTCGATTCGAATAAAAGTTATATAACAACCTAGTGTCAGGTGAACAATCCAGAGAAATATATTGTTCTAGTGCAGTTAAGCAGCATGGAACTGCCCCATGTGAAAAGGAGCTCGAGAGGACTAGTTGCTAGGTTACGTGGTATGACCCATATAAACCAGAGGGAGCTAGAGGCAAAGGAAAAAAAACCTTATGCTTGCACTAAAAAGCTGGCCGATTTAATTTATAGAGCTGCTTTTTATACTGCTGCAGATCGCCTCAAATCATCCGTATACAGGTAACGATAATCACGCATGCGTGTGTATGAATGCCTGCTTCTATGCGTACTCTATTTCGAATGTCGATCGCTCAAAAGCCAGCAATAAAATAACTGGGAATTACCTCAGAGGCGTCTCTGGATCTCCTGTGACAAGTATGAGGCCCATATCTATTTAAGGAGAGACCGACAAGTTACTGGTGAATATACAAAGCTCCGACGGCGCTGGCAACGACCTCAAAGTAATGTGGCCATTCTCTCGGCAAAAATGCTGAAGACAGAGCACGATGTTTGTCGTGCCACCCCATGAAAGAGCGTCTTTGGTTCCTACTTGCGAATAAATGGGATTTTATTGGAACCCAGCCGAGTTATTCTTAAGTAGAATGCAACTAATAGAGCTTAGGTAAACACCGAGAGTTCTGACATTGAAGGATTGACTTTCCGTTGCATGAAACTTCAGAATTCCTATTGAACTGGTGCACGCATTAAAATGTAGGATGCATAATTCATCAACATTAAAAATTACAGATAATTTTACATACAATCGTAAACTGTAATTCATTAACACTTTCCACGAGAATTTTTGGTGCTCGGTCACTCTTTATAAGCACAAAGCATGTATGTATGGCATGAGTAACGTTAGATAAAAGCTTAAAAGATATGTGCTTGTAAAGTTAACATAGTGACAAAATGTGAGTGAAATATGACTCAGATCGAACGAATTGTTTGACTGTGGTGTTTGTATACAATTAAATATGTATTTTACTTCATAATTAATTGCGTACACAATCTTTCTGTGTTTATACTCATTCGTTAAGCTTTGAAAAGTAGAATCGGCAAACGAAGTAAAGTTTTGAAAAGCTCGTATTATCTTCGGATTTTTGATGAGGACAAAAAGATCAGCGGTTTTGTGTTTTGTCAAAAGCTTTTCGAACAATTTCGGCTCGAAAGAAAGCGAGAAACACCGAGGATGGCATAACGACTTACAATAAAATGTTGGGGGCCGAATATTCAGGATATCGACGTTGGCATGCATATTGAGGTCGCTTTCCGCGAACGCGTACGAGCACATATGCATTCCGGAAGGTCTGAAGCGGAATAGCTAAGATCAGCTGCCAGACTACTGGCCGAAATGCTTTCAAAAATGGACCGACATATGAGAGAAATGAGATGCAACTAATATTTCCACCTAAATACAAGAGTTTGCGAGTGCAAAAAATGAAATAAAACAAAATAAAATTTTTTTAAAAAGTATACATTAGCCTCCAAAAATTCTTTAGAGCCGAATTATTTACTCTGAGCTTTTGGAGTAAAGGAATCTATGGAAATGTTTCGTACTTGAAAACTTACTAGGCTGTAACGCTCAAGAAGACACAAGCTATACTGGAAATTATAACATTTACCTAGTTTGACATGACATCCATAATCCACTTTGAAGCCATTGCTGAAGCTCTCTTGCGTACACTACCTGAAGCCGAAATGAAAAATACTGCGTCCAAGCGCAGAAAACTGTGAAAGCGAAAAATGCTCCATGAAAGGCGGAAAAATTGACCTGCCATGCTGGTGTCGCTAGAGCAATGAACAATAGAATAAGACCTAAAATGATGCACATCACAGTAGGGGCTAGTAGAAATAATTTTGGCGATGCCATTGAAGAGAACGGGGCTCTGAGGCACCTGTGAAGAGGTTAATCTGTAGTCGATTAACGCATTGAGTAGTAGCAATGAAAACGACGGGCGCGTAGCAGATCGATAGGTATAGTATGTTGAGCAATCTGCTGCCCATACAGGTGAGTTCGCTAGCCAGTTCTTACAACTACAACTATCTACACACCACCACATAAGGAAAGGATACACTTATACCTCTTATACCTCATTAGCAGAAACTTTCCCTGTCTAAAACAGTTAGATTAGCATAACTAGAGCTAGCACAACTACAGAGTCAAAGTTCATCGGCAACAATACGTAAACAAACGTGGAACACCTCAGACTACTAACGCTCAATTCAGTGAAACAGTATTCATAATGAGCACAACGATGCTTACATACACGTTGTCTGTAGGTGATTTTTAAGATACTTATAAATATAAATGTATATCTGTATATATATATATATATATATACATATACACAAATACATAGTCATTGGTTGTCGCCGCGTAGGGCGACAGAAACAGTGGGTGGTCTGCGCTCCATGCTGGTGAATGACGACTGAGGTTGGTTGTTGATGGTTCGATCGATCGTCCTTCATGGCGTCGGCACACATGTCGTCGTCACAGCGATTTCTAGTACGGATCTGACTGAAGCGCACTTCTCAAACACATGGATGTTTGATTTACGGTTACTACATTTCCGAATTCAACTGTTATCCTGTCCTTCACCGAGCACCACTAAAATCTCACTTCCAGTCGCGATGGAAAAAGTGGTGGCACCACCGCTTACGAAAACGAACAGAAGAACGAAATTTCTGGTGTCTCATATATATGGGATCATAACTGAATGCTGAGAAGAAATGAATCGCTTTGTTATCAAAAGCTGTTAAGCCTGCGCTTCATAACAGGAACAAGTGACATGTCACACACTTGGGGTAACACTTATGAACTAACCAGTCAGAACTTGTCTTGTTGCCATTATGTTCTTCTAGATGAATGTTCTGAACAAATATGCTGCGTTCTCAGAAGCAGCCCCATCTTGTTAAACAACGGAATTTGTTTCGAAATACAATTGAGGAACAGGTTTCGTGTCGCATTTCTTCGTTCCCTTCAACGAGTTTTATTCGAAATATTCGTAAAAAGAAATTTTTCCACATAGTTAGCCTAATACTAATACTAAGAATTGTTGTCTGTTTCACAACTTTTCTAAAGAATGGGAAGTGAGAAATCTCTAAGTGAAACGTAATGAAACGTGTCTGCATTATAAACGAACCGTACAGCCGTATCTCCATATCTAATCAAATTTCGACTGTATGGTTAACTTCAGTGTGGCTTTATCTGTTTCTAGTTTTCATTCATGCGATGTTCTACTGAACTCGACTCAAAGAGACTCTGAAGAATATGACATCTTTAGAAATGGAAATTATGAGGTAGGAAATGGAGGCAGTTTACGATCACTCTGATTATATAAGTGAAGGGTTGTAAATTGCCAGAGACAAAAGTAGGAGGTACAAACAATTAAATACGATCCACTATGAACACGTATTTTAGGATAACAAAGCTTGATGGGTCGAATTTTCCTCACTTCGCCTATCATTTATGGAAAGAATTCAGTCCTGAGCGTTCTCATCAAGAACGAATAGTTGTCTTCTCGTTATGTCGTAACAGAAGATTTTTGTACAGCCCATGGCAAAGTAGAACAGGAGAACAGAAGAAAGGGTGACCAAGATCTAATGCGAAAATCTGGTGCTATTGTTGATGTGGTCGATCTCCGCTTGTTAGGATTTTGTGGTTTTCAAAGGCACCTATGATTTTGTTTTTCGTCAACGATAGACTTTTTGTGGAAAAGGTATCGTGTGTAAGGAAACCCAGCAAGATGGTCGCCAGCTCGATTCCGCTGTTCATTTTCAAATTTCTTAATGCCATATTTACATCTACTGTCTTCCTAATATATCGTTGAAGAAGCAAGTGCATAAAAGAGCTTTCGGCTAAGGCTCACTAGTTCTAAAAGGCCGTATAAGGAATCTAATTTGCACTCGGTCACTTAATTGTGAGCAGAAAAAGATAACATTATTCACCTGATGACAATGAAACCAAAGACGGACTATAAGCAGGCGAAATGGTATGATTGTGGCTGCTGAATTGGTGCACACTACCAAGTCTATACTGTTTGCGTCGTTTTCTTGTTCAACAATCGCGAGGTTTCCAAATGGCATACATTTACTTCCATAGAGAAACACAATACAATACAACATTAGCTGACGTTTCGGCAGTATCGCCTTCTTCAGAGCCTGGAAGGGTACACTGATATACAATCTACTAGGCCAAACGCTTCAATAATACTTACAAAAAGACGAAAAACTCTATGGTAATTGCATATACTATACGCATACATATACTACATATATAAACTTTATACTGTTTTGTAGCAGAAACCTTTTAACATCGATAAGAGTCGGTTATTTCAAACTTCGTCTCATAGATTGCCTTCACGAATGATTAGCGGTTATAGAGCCTTGTTCTTATCTTTCGTCTACATTAGATCACTTGTCACAAAGCGAATGATTTTTCATACTGATTAAATGAAAAAGGTTTTAACACAGGAATCCATGGAACAAAAATATATGGACGGGTAGACTTCACATGGCGTATGGGCCCAGATCTTCTTTCACTTCCTCGCTGTCTCGATTATTAAAATCGTGGGCCAGAGGCCATAGGTTGTCGACTTTCCCATATGATTTGTACTGCTTATGTGTTTGCAATACTCATCAATGTGGTAAATGGAAATCGGAGGTAACTTTAGAACCTTGAGCGGAGATCAGCCAAATCCCCATCTGTGGATGTCACTTTGAAAAACTATTCAATGGGTCCTACTCCGGTTGATGGCACAAAGAACGTCTTATTACTTCCCTCAGAAACTTCATGAAAAAGGTTGTCATCGAAATCGTGGTTTTACAGTGCGTTTAACACCCTGTGGTGCCCTTCCATTCGTCAATGTATATGGCCAGTGGTTGTAGCTGGGACGCATCATGTGCCACTCCACCTAATTTACGGCATGCTGGTGTATAGGGCAGTGTTTCAAATCAATGTATGTCAGAAAAATTACACCTATTATCACCGCGATACTACATATTTTTGAAATCAGCCTCTTGCTAATGCATTCGATAACGCAAGGGGACTTTTTCTTGTTTACGTAGTTTACTTTTCTCAGAAATGTGTTAGTACAGGAAGAATCGTAGAATCGAAAAATCGAAAATGTGCTCGTGAAGCCGATTACTCTTTTTCCTCCTCAATATACCCTTTATTCTATTGTGAGCTACATAAACGACTCGCTTCTTAATGCTCAGTTTATGTCCTAGGTCGTATATCATGTCGACCCAGTTATAACTGCTGAACTCGGAGGTTCACTAGAAGCAAGTAAAGCTCCAAAGAATAGAGCTGCCGGCGATGATGGATCCTTGAGGCATGCACTATGAATTCAGCTTCATTACTTGCCCTTAAAGGTGATGAATGCGTATCCGGACTGTACAGTGATCCACGGTATACCAATATATCGAGTCAGTGCTGCTATCCTCCAGGACAGGTCTGAAATCAATTTACCACTCCCGGAGGAATGGAAAATTCTGTGGGTGCGATGTGCGGGATCGAGTCCATAGGTATATCAGGGTACCTCTAATCACTAGACTACATTGATACTAGGGGATCCGTTTGGTAGAGTGTCGAAAACGAATTCGTTTATTAATGAAAATTGTTTTTTTTGTACACAACTAAAAACCTGTCTTTTACAAGTCCTTCACAAATCGGCCAATAATTATTCTGACCTCTTGGTTCTTGTTAGTGCAAGAACGATGTTAACACCGAGACGAAAATAGTGCAACTTTGAATTCCATATTATCTTCATTACACTTTTCGCCTAACATCTCCAATAAGGGTGCAAAATTATTTTTCGATGTTGTCGTCTTGTTGAATTCCTCCTTTTACGTCAAATGTATCATTAAAAATGGTTGAATTCCGGTTCTGAAGATGTTGTGTGTATAGCTCCATGGGGCTTTGTACGTTCGGCATGAACGTCTTGGTTGTCTTGATCTTCTACAACCGTCTTTTTATAGACTGCACCATGTTATTTTTTAAGTTGGAAAAATTGAGACAGAGAAAGTGGCATCTTGTACTGTAACCTGTTAATGCATCCACACAATCTGTCATGCTAAACACGAGCGAAACCACTCTTGCTCGGAAAGTCGTCTTTGGCCTTCAGTAGAGATGAGAATCACTCGAGCGAAAATCTGGCAAAAGCTGGCAGATTAGACAATTGTTGGCGATATTTCATAGGTCTCTCTTTTTCTGGAACTAAGTTGTCTGAACACTTCTGGCACCGCCCAAAGCTTCATACTGCTGCTGTTCTGTCTCTATTACATAACGTCCGACGAACAATGCTACATGGCTACAGCTCGAGATGGCGCCTTATTTCATGCAGTTTAAAGATTTGATAAATCGGCCAATGAATGGGGCAATGATCACACAGCACATAATGAACAAAAGTAGAGAGCACACAGTATATTTTTGATAGTCAGAGAGCTTGAGAGGTGATGAACATTAGGAAATTATAGAAGTAGCCTTGTTTTGCCGCTCAAAAGTGTATGTATTGCTATTCACTTCATATCACTCTGGATCACCATTCTCCCGCATTCCAGTCGTCTGGAAGCGCAAACCGTTTGGTAGTACCCATTTCATACGATAACCATAACCCACCATAGCAAATAGGAATGGAAAATTCCCGAGTTCTTGGTGGAAAATTGAAGTTGAAACCTGTTGAAAGTTGAAAGTTGAAAATTGAAACCCTACACGGTGGACTGCGTTAGTCCTCCATTCCATTATCTTCCCATAGCTTTTGGTAACCAGAGGATCTGAAAGGTTGAGTACCTAAGATATTTGTAAGAGCAACTTTGAACGCCATAGAGAAT